TGAGGCCCTAATAAAATGATTTAAAAAATAATAAAAAATAAAGAGTTATAGTCTCAGAAACTCAAAGAGGCTGTTCTACTGTGTCCCCTAGGGTCACTATGATTAGAATTGACCTGATGGCAGGGAGTATATGTAGTATAGTATATTGCCATCTGCTAACCTTGTGGTGTAGGGGGTTATGCTTTGGGCTGCTAACCTCAAGGTCAGCAATTTGAAACCATCAGCTGCTCCATGAAAGACCAATGAGGCTTTCTATTTGCATTGAGTTCCACAGTCTTGGAAACCCATAGGGGCAGTTCTACTCTGTTCTAAAGGGAAGCTGTAAGTTGAAATATCTAGATGGCAGTGAGGTGTTTTGTTTTGTTTTCCAAATGATGTCAACCTTTTTTACTGACTTACAGAAGCTACTAATGGTACGGTCCCCCAAGGCCAACGACCACCACCTCGTATCAAGAACTTCCAGATAAATAACCAGATTGTGAAACTGAAATACTGTTACACATGCAAGATCTTCCGGCCTCCCCGGGCCTCCCATTGCAGCATCTGTGACAACTGTGTGGGTGAGTAAAGCCAAGGGCACCTTGCCAGAGGGGAAGACTGAGATGCAGAAGAAGAGGGTCAGGTTGGTCACCAAGTCTGGAGTAAAAGCAATGGGAGAGAAAAGTTAGATTCAAAATCACCTTAGATAAGAAGAAAGCTCTGGAACAACTGGGAATCAATTGTACGTGTCTACAACAAATTGTAACTTAAATATCCTGGTGGCAGCGTACTTAAGCATGTGGACTGTTAACTGGGTAGTCGATGGTTTGAGCCCATCAGCTCCTCCACGGGAGAAAGATGAAGCTGTCTGCTTCCGTAAAGATTCACAGCCTTGGAAATCCCATAGAACAATTCTACTGTGTCTTATAAGATCGCTATCAGTTGGAATCAACTTGATGGCAGTGGGTTTGGTTTTGGAGTCTAAAATTGAAAAACAGAAACAGATTTTGCCTGTTCTGCAAAATCTCGGTTTTCTTCTGCTGGGTCTATTTCAGGCAGGGCCCACCTTAAATAAGAGGATGAACCTAGTCCACTGGAGGGCAGCATTGGGGAAGGAAGGGCCTTAGAAGAAGCAGTATTCTTGAGCGGTTACTACATACTAGGCACTGTGTGAAGTGCTTGACTTTTCAAGATTCCTAACTACCCCATGAGATAGGTCTTATCCCCAGTTTACAGATGAGGACTTGGATGAAGCAACTTTTATGTAGGTACATGTAATTAGGATGAGAAGGAGCTGATTCCGGTCTAATTCCCAAACTTGCATTTATTCTATTTCTGCTACTTCATCTCACCTACTTTGGACATGCGGTCAGGAGGGACCAGTCCCTCAAAAAGGACATCATCCTTAGTAAAGTGGATGGTCAGCAAAAAAGAGGAAGCCCCTCAACGAGATGGATTGACACAGTCATTGTAACAATGGGCTCAGACATAACAATTGTGAGGATGCTGCAGGACTGGGCCATGGTTCATTCTGCTGTACATAGAGTAATTATGAGTCAGAACCAACAACAGTTTAACATGAAAAAAAAAAGTTCATCTCTCCTGATAATCAGAGGAATATAATTAAAGCAAGATTCTTTCGTTTGTAAAAGACTTTATTTTTCAGAGCAGTTTTAGGGTTATGGGAAAATTGTACAGAAAGTACAGGGCGTTCCAATGTACCCTGCCTCCTGCAAAGTATTTATCCTATTGTTAGGTGTTGGCTGTCATCTTTATGGAAGCAGACCACCAGGACTTTGTCCTATGGAAGGATTCGGTTGGTTAGCAGCCAAGCACTTAGTCATTTATGTGGTGTTTTTTTAATTTAAAACCTTTTATTGGGGGCTCTTACAGCTCTTATCACAATCCATTGTGTCAAGCACATTTGTACATAAGTTGCCATCATCAGTATCAAAAGATTTTCTTTCTACTTGAGTCCTTGATATCAGCTCCTCATTTTTTCCCTCCCTCCCCCACCTTCCCTCTTAATCATTTGTTTTAACAGAGCTTCTAATTCTTTTCTAAGAATCAGCACAAAGTTGTTTACTATGACGCAGAGGTAAACAATATCCCATATTGCTGTACCACTCTGTCATCTCTAAGACCAGCTCTGCCCCTCTCCTCAGTACACTTCCTCCTGTCTTTGGGTTCAGTCATTTGCGATAACATCGCATATATATCACTAAACTACATCTACACTTATGGAGTTTATTAAGGAAGTAACAGGTTACAACTTGAGATAAGGATCAACTCATAGTAGAAATAACTCAGAATAAAGTTCTTGCATTTGGACAGCTTCTTTTTGGCTGCTGCCATTGGGCCCTGCTCAGGGACTGGATACCACTGGGCACTGCTTGGATAACTATTACAGCTCTTAGCTCCATGGGCCAGCAAACCCCACTGGGGTCACTTTTGCCGTGCAATCTCTTGTGTCTTCAGTGTCCAGCTTATTCTCTCTCTCTCTCTCTCTCTCTCTCTCTCTCTCTCTCCATTTCACTCTCTAAAGTCTCTATCAGAGACACTGGTTATATGACAATCTCCATATTAATTTCCAGGCATGTCCTCTTCCAATAAGACCATGAACTAACTAATCTCCTACAAAGGTTCCATGTACTTTATTTGCATCAACACACTGTCCAATTCCTGTAAGAGCTTCTTTTACCTCATTCACACAATCCCGGCCAGTCACTTAATGGGAGTAACAAGACCAAACATAGCTCAACTCAACAGACTCACTGCCATGTAATTGATTCTGACTTATAGTGACCCTATAGGACAGAGTAGAACTACCTTTTTGGGTTTCTGAGATTTTTACACCTTTACAGGAGTAAATAGCCTCATCTTTCTCCTGGAGAGCAACTGGTGAGTTTGAACCACTGACCTTGGGGTTAGCAACTCAATGTGTAGCCCCATACCATTGCTGGCCACCTGTATGTCTTCTTTGGTGAAGTATTTATTCATGTTCTTTGCTCATTTTAAAAACAGTTTTATTGACATATAATTCACATATCAGACAATTCAACAGTTTATACATATTACAAAGAGTTGTGACGTCACCACCACAATACATTTTGGAACATTTTATTCTTTCTTGTACTCATTGTTATTAGCTTCCCATTTCCCCTCAACTTCCCCTGCCATACCCCCAAGAAACCATTAATCCAATTATTCTCTCTAATATAGATTGACCTATCCTGGATTTCATATACAGAAAAACATACAAAGAACAGAAACAAACAGACAAAAAATCATCAACAAATGTAAAACAAAGCAGAAAATATTTAAAATTAGAGTAAATTTAAAATGGGTCAAAGGGCAGATCAAATGATAAGGCGTTACATTTTAGCCTAACTGCATCTGCAGTAATCCACTTTATAATGTATTTTGTCTGCTAGAAAGACTATTTACATGGCTGGTCTACGGTCAGAGGGTATTCACCAGAGGTTTAATCCCCACAAAGATGCTGCAAATGAATTTTGGGATTTAACTGTCATCCACAGCCTTTTGAAAACCGAGTGCTCAGAATTTTCTTCTTTAAAATCATTTTATTGGGAACTCTTACAGATATTATAACAATCCATAATTCAATTAGATGAAGCATCATTGTACAATTGCTGCTACCATCATTTTCAAAACATGTTCTTTCTTCTTGATCTCTTTGATATCAGCTCCCCTTTATCCAGTTCCTCCCCAACCCTACCCCCCAGGAATTCTTCTTTTTATATTATTATTTGCTGTATCTTACACCATCCAATGTATCTGTTCACCTATATTCTGTTATTCGTTCATCTCGAGTGGAGTTATACAATTGCGGTTGCTATCGTACCCGTCTCCCCATACCTTCAGGGAATCATTACTCCCATTGCTATTTCTGAAGGGTTTATCTATCTTGAATTTCATTCATCGAATTACCTTAATTATACAAATGAACATACACAGGTCTCACAAGATTAATGAAGTACAGCTAACACCATAACAGTAAGAAGAGGAAATATTAAAGAACTAGAGGATAGTTATATGTTTAATCAGTGCTATACTGCACCCTGGGTATTTCATCTCTTCATGTGGCTCTTCTGTGAGGGACTGTCCAATTTATCTTACAGGTGGGTTTTGGGTCTCCACTTTGTCTATGTTCCTTCACATCAATTTGATTACTTGTTTTTGAATTTCTGATACCTATTCCCATTGACACCTCATGATCACACAGGCTGGTGTGCTTCTTCCATGTGGGCTTTGTTGCTTCTGAGCTGATGACCGCTTGTTTATCTTCAAGCCTTTAAGACCCCAGATGCTATATCTTTGATAGCCGGGCACCATCAGCTTTCTTCACCACATTTGCTTATGGTACTCAGAATTTAAGACCTAATACTGTTCCCTTTTCTGGTTTTAGATTTTATTATTTACAATCATTGAATCACATAGGTTGGTGTCTGCTCATTTTCAATTGGATTGTCTTTTTCTTGTTGAGGTGTTGAAGCCTCTTACACATTTTAGAAAGTAGTCCCTTCTCTGGTAATATCATTACTACAATTTTCCCCTTAGTCTGTGGGTTCTTTTTCTGTATTTTTAGTGAAATATTTTGATGCATATGCATGTTAATTTTAGGTGGTCTCAGTTATCTATATTAACTTCTGCTGTTTGTGTGTTTTAAGTTATGTTTGATAATGTATTTGTGTCCTGAATTATGAACCCTAAATTTGTCCCTATTTTTCATTGATGATCTTTACAGTTTTAGCTTTTAAATTTAGGTCTTTGATCCATCTAAGTTAGTTTTTGTATATAGAGTGAGATAAAGGTCCTATTTTATTTTCTGCAAATCGATACCCAATTTTGTCATTTGTTAAAGAGATTATCTCTTTCCCATTTAATGAATTTTGACCCTTTGTGTCTCAGTTCTGTTCCATTGGTCTATGTGTCTCTTATTGTACCAGTGCAAGATTGATTTTGGTTACTATAGCTGTGTTTTGAGATTAGAAATGTAGAGGCCATATACGCTGTTCTTTTTTAATAGTGCTTTTCTTATCCGGGGCTTCTTTCCATTCCTTCTAAAGTTGATGATTCGTTTTCTAATGTTCTCTTTAAAGAATAATGTTAGAATCTGGATCTGGATTGCATTATATTTGTAGATTTCTTTGGGCAGTACTGACCATTTGACAATGTTAAGTCTTCCTGTCCATGAGCATAGTATATTCTCTTTTGACTCTTGTAGTAGTGTTTTGTAGTTTTGTTTGCATAGGTCCTTTGTTTCTATGGTTACATTTATACCTAAGTATTTAATTTTTGGTAGCTATTGTAAATGATATTGAATTTTATAATTTACTTTTCAGAGCTCTCTTTGTTAGTATAAAGAAATCTGGCTGATTTTTGTAGGTTAATCTTCTATTCTGCCACTTTGCTGAATATTTTCATTGTTTACAAGAAATTTCTGAGCAGCGCAAGATGGCAGCCAGCATGAGCTCAGACAATTTCTGAAAACTGGTGCACAGCCTTAAAACAAAATGTGGACCTAAATACCCAGAGGCACCTCCCTTTTGTAATATTT